GACAAGAGTAAACCTAATAAATCTAAAACTAAACAGAGATACCACCTTAGCTCCCAAAGTTTGTTTTTATCATTTATTTTCAAAGTTTATTTTATAAATTAAAAGAGTAGTCAGTACTAATGATCACAATCTTTTTGCTTGGATGGAAAGAGCAGTTCCTTCAGCTGCAGCCTGGCTTTGACACTGTGGCTGTTGTGATAGTGATACTCTTCTACTCTGTTCTTCAGTTCATAGCATGGGTTGCTTGGAAGCACAGTTGATTTCTTGTCCTGCAGAAGAAAATATTATTCAGCCTCTTGAAAAGTGGTTAAAATTGCATCCTAACAGATTTTAGATATTACAGCTTTTTATGCACACATGCATCAAAATTTTGGTGGCTGTTACCTTGTGACACTTGCTTTCCTCTAATGTAAAATTGTGTCTGTTTTACCATATAATGTTGCCTTTTCATTATTCAGATTGTTAATCATGTATAGAAATCTGCTTGAAATTGTCTAATTTTCAGATAACAGATGAAATTAAACCCCAAATAATTTGTCCGTGCCACTTGAAAAATCCTCTCCTTGAATTTTTAGATAGATGAACATTACAAATAATTGTATTAACTGTTTTCTATCTTTTTTTTTGTCTTTTAAGGGTAATGATGGCTTTAGCTGGAAGGACCTTCTGCGAATAAAAAGTGCCCATAAACTTTTGTATGCCCTGGAGATTATTGAAGCTTTGGGGAAGCCCAACAGGAGGATAAGACGTGAATCTACGGTAATTTTCTTGCGCAGAATCTCCGTGCTTCTCTGAACCAAAGCATATCTTGATGATTTGTTTTATAATATTACAATTCTTGAGCTGTTTTTACAATTATTCTTGTTTATCTTTAGGGCAGTTACAGTGATCTTTACCCAGACTCAGATGATTCAAGTGAAGATCAAATAGAAAACAGTAAAAACACGTGGAGCTGCAAGGTTTGTTTTTCCTACAGTGTTCCATGACACCTAAGACAATTTTTCAAGAGAAATGTAGAATTAAAAACCATTTAAAATATTATCTATCCTAAAATCTTTTACCTCAAATTTAGGGGTAACATTTGCAAGTTTTTCTGTGTTACCAGGCTTGTAAATTTGTGGTAGCCATGTACAATTATTTCATTTGTTTTCATAAAGTATCCAGCTGAATAATTTATAATTTATTTATTAATTTATGAAGCTTAGGTTGGTATCTAACTGATCTTAGTGGTATGTCTGTATCTGCTTTTTCTCTCATTGATTCCATAATATACTTACAGTTTGTTGCTGCTGGAGGGCTCCAACAGTTACTGGAAATTTTCAATTCTGGAATCCTAGAGCCTAAGGAACAGGAATCATGGACTGTGGTAGGTGTTCTTTGACCCTTTCTCTCCAGAAGAATTCCTGGCATTTGTAAAGACTTTTAATACTTTGAGCCTTTGTTATAGTTACTTTTCTGTTGTGAAATAGATCCATTCTCTGATTGAAATCACCAGAGTCTATGTAGTAACATCTTTTTTTTGGGAATATTTTATATTCCTGGAAGAGCTTATTTTAAAAAAGCAAGTATACATATACTTCTGCTTTTTTATGTTTTAAAACTACCCTTCCTTTTTCCCTATGGATTTTGGGGAGGGTTGTCTATTCTTAAAATTGTAGAACTTAAAACTGTGGTTTGTGGGACCTTAGAGGGTAAAAACTTGGGTTCCTTCCTCAGGAATGATTGCAACTGCATTGATTTTACTGTAACAGATCATACTTCTTTAAAGAAGTCAAAAGTAGCCAAACAAGAATGGAGGATTTATTTATTTTTGCTCTTTTTTTCTGCTTATTTTAGGGAAGGCTGTTATTTGGAGAGTTATTTAGTTTTGTCTGTGTTAAGAGCAGTAATCTGTTAATTATCTTTCCCTTGTCTAAGAGGTCAAGAAATACCATTTTCCCTTGCTGTCAGTGAGACAATTAGCATAGCGCCTGTGGTGCTGATAATGAACATGTTCTATAAGAATGACTAATAATCATCTTTTTCAGTATTATTCTATCATTAGTTTGAGCTACATTCAAGCTACTTCTGTTTTTTTCTCCTTTATACCTTGCTGAGGTTTTCAGTTCCAAATTCCATAGCAGGTGTTGAATCACGTGTAAAATAAACCCCTCAAAACTGAAGATTTCTTTTCCCTCCCCTCCCCAGTGGCAGCTGGACTGTCTTGCTTGCTTGCTGAAGCTGATCTGCCAGTTTGCAGTGGATCCCTCAGACCTGGATCTGGCTTACCACGATGTCTTTGCCTGGTCTGGGGTAGCAGAGAGCCACAGGAAAAGGACGTGGCCGGGCAAGTCCAGGAAGACAACGAGCGACCACGTCAAGGGCCTCCACATCCCCCGGCTGACAGAGGTAGGAGACACACACAGCTTCTGTGAGCTCTAGCAAACAACTCCTTTGCTAAAGGAGGACATGTGAAGCCCTTACTTCAGTAATAAAATCGTGCAGTGGAAAAGTTAGTAGTACTGATTGATCTCAGTAATGTAATTGATCTCTTAGCTGTTCTCTAGAAAAGTATTGGAATAGTTTTAAACCTGGCAACCAAAAGGTGTTTTTTGGTGATTGATGAACAGATTAATTGGGAATTCAGAATTCCAGTGCTTTGCCCCTGTTTCGTAGATTTTGTTTCCTGAATTGATCAGTCCTTTTTTACAATTATTAACCTGCATTTATAACTTGAGCTGCCCTTGTCCTCGCTAAATCCGTGTTGGATTCCTTTAGTAAACACTAAAATAACTTTATTAGGGATATCTGAGTGAGTGTGAGCTTACCTGCAGCTGTGAACCTTCCTGCCAGATTCCTGCATGCTGATTTCCTAAGGCAGGCCAAGCACATGGGATATTTTGGCATCAGGGGAACATCCAGTGTAAATTGACTTTCTTGGGCACAGGACCAACTGTGACTGCCAAAAAGTGCAGGTCTGAGCTCTGAGCTGGAGCCAAACTTCCCTTTTGTTATACCTGGAAAGACCTTAACTATTCTATAAATACCAGTCATTTTTGACAAAACAAATCCCTAAATCACCAGGGCTACTGTCATACAGGGAACTTACCAGATGTATGAAATTTTTGAACATGTAAATGGTGCTGTTGCTTTCTCTGACTGGTTTTAAATTTTTTGTTGTCAATCAATTAGTATTTTTGATTGCTGTGGATTTGATATTTAAATATTTTAGAGATTTTCTTCAGACTTGGATTTTAAAATTTTGTGTAGTCTGTCAGATTTGCTAAAGATGAATATTTGAAGAAAGTGGTTAGTCAATAAAATGTGTTGATCACAGAGATAGACAAAATTTAAGTGTCCAACCTCATCCTGAGCCCTGTCTCCTCAAGCCTAAGGTTTTTAAAAGGCTGTGAGTAGTTTATGCTTTAAAAAAATACCATGTTTTTACTAAAAGGATTGAATAAATGGTTGATTTTCCTATTCAGTTGAATTGTCTTCTTTAGAGAATGAAATTTTAGCATCTAGACCTAGTCAGTGAAACATGGGATTTTAGCTCTGCTTTAATAAAACCAGTAAATTGTTAACTGTGAAGATGCTGTGATTTGCCTTTGGCCCTTCCTCCTCTGCACAGGTGGGTTTATTTAGATTCACACAGTGTGTATAATTAAAAAAACAGATCGAAAAGCTTGTTGTTATATTAACTTGTTTTTTTTTTTTTTTTTTTTCTTTCGACTTCAATTTTTAAAGGTGTTTCTTGTACTTGTCCAGGGAACCAGTTTGATTCAGCGACTTATGTCAGTTGCTTATACATATGACAACTTGGCACCTAGGTACAATATCTTCTTATTTTTGTGATAAAGCTGATCGAGTGTGCGCATTTCATCGCTGCTTTAGTCAGGACCCCGGGGCTCTTCCAGCTGTGCTCCCCTTGACAGCCAGCCAGACACTGAGCTCCAGAGGTGTAGACTTGCTTTTCTTAGTCACCTCCTGCAGTGGCAGAGAGGAGAGGGGTGAGGGCTCTGTGGTCAGGGTGTAAGGCATGGATGTATGAACTATAAATGACTTAAATTCTCACGCCAAAATCCCTTCTTCGTTTTCTCCAGAGCATTCTTAATTTCAAGGCAGCGTAAAGGAGAAATTAAAACAAATTCACTTTCATGTTGCTTAGTTGTCTGTCACTTTTGACTTATTTTTCCCATCCTGCTGATACTGAAGGCAAAATCTGACCTATTGGAGATTTTGGTCCTGTTGCCTTTTTGTCCTGAGAAAAGCAATTCTGTGTAAGGCTGCATTGTGGCAGGCAGACTGATGCTGGGGAGGTCAGGTTTTTGCTACATTGGTGTTGCAGAATTGATTCCAAGTGATGGATAATTGTTTTACCATATTTTTAAAACATTGTTAAGGACATTCAGAACATTTCCAGTCTGCAAGTGTGCTTAACTTTGACCTCTAGTTGAGTTGCAGGAAAAATTCAAAAAAATTTTATATGCTATATTTTTTATTTCATAACCTTTTATTGTAATTAATGAAAATGGAAGAAAATAAATATAAACATTTAAAGTTTGCAAATGTTTATTCAGAGTGTGGTTCCTTTATGAAGAAAACTAGATTTCTTCTGTGTGGGTCAGTTCTTAGCTCTGACATCTCTGTTTTGGATAAAATAAAGAAGGGGCTGTGTGGGTATTTCTCCTTGGCTTTTAATCTTGTAGTCAGTAAAGCTTTATGGGGGTGACGAAGATTTTCATAGTTTTATTGTTGTTGCTATTTTTGAATACTGCAAGCAGTGAATCCTTTTAAGATGAATGATTTTCCAAGTGGTTACTTAAGAGTATAACTGTGTTGTGCCTTGTGTGTACTTGTATTTTTGAGTGCTAATCTGGTATGTTCTGTGATAAAATTCAAATTATTTTCTCTTCTTCCCATCAGGGTGTTGAAGGCTCAGTCTGATCACAGGTCAAGGCATGAAGGTCAGTGCTGCAAAACAGCTGTGTCAGGAACTAATAACAGGGATGGCAAATTGATTATAATTTATTATTTGGATTTATTCCACCATTGGAATGCTGGAAAATCATTTTACTCCAAGGAAATATCCCTGGTTTCTGAGTGAAATGCAGTCTGGGTTTTTTCCCCAGTCTGGATTCAGGGTGAAATCTGGTCATGGTTATTCCCCAAACCACTTTCCAGGGGAAATCCACTCCATGTTTTTCCTGCCCCTCCAATCTGGATTTTCTGTGAAATCCAGTCCAGGTTTTTCCCTGAGCCACTTCCCAGGAGAAATCCAGATCCAGTTTTCCTTCAGTCCCAGTTCCAGGGGAAATCCAGTCTGGTTTTCCTTCTGTCCTAATTCCAGGAGAAATCCTGTCAGGTTTTCTTTCAAGCCCAATTCCAGGTGAAATCCAGTTTCCCAGAGAATTCCTGTCTGGGTTTTTCCTGCTCCTGTTTCTGGCTGAAATCTCATTGAGATTTTCCCAGTCCTCTTTCCAGGCTAAATCCCATCTGGATTTTCCCCCATTCCTGCTCCTACCCCTCATCCCCAAACTTTATCCAAGACTAGGAAAGGAGAAAATTCAGTTTTATTTCGGGAGTGAAGCTGGGGCAGTGATTGGAAGCATCTTCTACTCAGTTTTTCAGCTGCTTCCCTCTTGCCAAAACATTTCTTATTGGGCTTGTGGCAGAAATTCCATGTGAGAATTTTCAGCTCAGGTTGCATCAATGAGGAGAGCAGCAAATTCAGACAAGTCCCACACTGCAGTTTATCCTGCAGTAATAACCAATGGCAGAGGTATGCAGGCAGGATCCTATCAAAATGTAACACTTTGCAAAAAAGAAAACAGGAAATTCAGGTGGAGGTTAAGTGGAAGATGAGAAGGCTACCAAGAATAAACTCTGGTTGCACCTGAAAAATTAAATTTAGACCCTATTCCAAAAGCAGCTTTTTAAAAATTTTCCATGAGGAAATGCTTCATTGTCAAAACAGGTGGGGTCCTATCCCATAAAAAGCTGTTCTGGGCACCCTTGGACACATCTGTAATTGGGTATTCAGGCCTTGTTTACTCGAAATAAATCCCAGTAGATATTGGCCCAAGAAATTGCTGCCATTCATGTGATAGGTCTGTGCTTGGGCTCTTGCTGCTGGCAGTCTCTCTCCTAAATAATGAAAGATGAAGAATGGTTTCTCTGTTGATAATTCCTTCCAAAAATGGGGTATTTGAAAGTGTAGTCCTTGAAAGCATGCTGGCCTTATTACCAGAGGAAAGGTGACACTGGATGGAGTCTGAAGCACTGCAAAATTGTCATTCTAATTTCATTGCAAAGACACTACCTGAGAATTTCCAAAGTTACTTGGGGGCTGCAGGATGATTGCAATGGAACTTCTGTTAGAGGCAACACATACATGGCCACAGGAATTGGTACAAAACACAAATAAATGTGAAGATGTGTTGCAAAGCACAAGCTCACAGGTCAAGTAGAGATTTAGGAAAATACTGTGCCCCTCACTGGTAATATTTAATCTAATTGGATGGTCATCATCAGTACAGTGGTCAATATTTAATCAACATGTTGGTGAAACTCTGAGGTTTTCTGTATCCTAAGTGACAAGAAATGTTTTTCCTGCCTGTTATTGTGACTGAAATAAATGTCATTTTGGGCTGAAGAAGCCTCTGCTGTGCTTACAGTGGGGTTTCTCCTCCTCCTGCAGTCACTCACTATTCCATGTGGCTCTTGGTGAGCTGGGCTCACTGCTGCTCCTTGGTGAAATCCAGTCTGGCTGACAGTGACCATTTGCAAGACTGGCTCAAGAAACTCACCCTGCTTATTCCAGAGGTATGGTAATGGGGAGCTTGCTGCATTCCTAATTAGTGTCATTACCTTTGGGCTGCCATTCCATCCAGGACAAGTGTTTTCCTGCTAAAAGGGGCAAGATGTGTTTCAGTTCCTTGCAGTGCTGGGTAAGAAGTGATCACTGGAAGGTGGCACCTGTGCTCAGTGGCAAACCAGGTTTTAAACTCTCACCTTTCTCCTTGGCTTCTGTTTGAATTCATTTTTTCATTGTCATTTGTTGAAATTTCTGGGTAATTTGTTGTTGTTGTAACACACAAAGTCCTGACTTGAATTAGCTGAAATGTATTCCCCATTGTGTTTTTTTGCATTATTAGAATTTTTTTTACTATTTATTTTTCTATATTAGAATCACAGAATGAGGTGAATGAGAATTGATACAAAAATCTTTGTCACGACCAAAGATTGGTTTAGCTTTAATTAATTTTTTTGCTAAAGCTAGACCAAATTTTTACTAAAGCTAGACTAATGTTTTACTAAAGCTAGACTGAAGATGGTCTACAGGCTTCAATGGAATAAAGGCTTAAAAATTGCATCAATTATATTCACAGTAGAATTTTCTGTATTTGCTGGTGATCACTTAAAAGTGCAAGGTGATGGGATAATTCTTATCTGTTGTTTTATTACTCAAGCACAGAAAAAGCTTACAGCCTGGCTCCACTTAAAATCCCTGGAAATGAGAGAGTGCAAACTTCCAAAGCTTCATCACACGGTGGATATTTTTCTTAATAAAAGGAAGAAGAAAATTGATTTTCTAGTGAAAGTAAATTAATTAGTACTTATGAAAGAGCGAGGGTAAATTCAGGATTCACACAGATTTCCGTCATTTGCCTGATGTGATATTTTCTATTCTAGTCACTGCAATCATTCCCATGGAAAATACATAACTTGAAACACAGGGCACAAAGAATCTTTTTAATTACAACAGTATAATTAGCATTTTTCTGTAAGCGGTTTAAATGCACCTTATTTGTAATCCCTGTTTTAGAAAGACACATTCAACCCTCATAACCTCTTAGATATTATGAGAGGAATTTATGTACCTATGAAAGAAAAACATTCAAATGAAAAAAAATCTTCCAGAGAATGTTTGTAATCAAGTAATTTCATTATTTTTCCTAGACTGCAGTTCGCCACGAGTCCTGCAATGGTTTGTACAAATTGTCTCTCTCTGGCCTGGATGGGGGAGACTCAATCAACCGCTCCTTTCTGCTGCTGGCTGCATCAACCTTGTTAAAATTTCTCCCTGATGCTCAAGCTCTGAAACCAATTAGGGTAAGAATTGGAGAACTGACAAGGCTTTCTCAAAGAGAAATTTCAAATTAATATAAAAAAAGTAAAAAATTTAAAATTAATATTAAAAAGTAAAAAAAAAAAATCTTAAAAAGTAAAGAATAAAAATATAAAAATATAAAATTTACTATAATATAGAATTTTACTTATTATATAATATAGATACATAAAATATAAAAACTAAACATGCTAGGACATTATTGTTGTGTCTGACATACTGTTTCAGATACACAGAGATATGAAGACTTCTGCTTTAGATGTTTCCAGAAACTTTCCAAAAATGGTTAAACTGTGGCACTGCAGTAATGTACAGCTTGGCTGTGCCTGGAGAAATGCAGTACAGCTTTTGGGAAGTGCTCTTGTTCTTAAATTTCAGTGTTCACATACACAGATATTTTAAAAAATATTTAAAATAAAACAATCTACTGATAATTTTGCAATATTTATCTGTTTTTCAGGAGAGTTTAACATTAGAAATGTATTTAGTAGTTGAAATCAGCCCAGGTTTTTCATGTTGTGTCTAGTCTAATCCTGAATATTTTTGTGATTTGCAGTGGGTGGGATGAATTCCACACTATTCTACAAATCTTTTACAGGTCTGGCAGAACATCTTGACAATTTTTCAAGAAAATTAATAAATATTGTAGAAGAAAAACAGAGCACACACTGTTACCATTGTGAAATACATTGTTCTTATACTTACCTTAGAGGCTTGAAGAAAGCAATTCTCTTGTAACACAGTTACTGGCTTCACTGTGCTTTTTTAATACAGTTATTTTGGCTTCTACTTCAGAACAAAAGCAATTTCTTTCCACAGATAGAGGATTATGAAGAGGAAACTGTGCTGCGACCTGGTTGTAAGGAGTATTTTTGGCTGCTGTGCAAACTGATTGATAACATTCATGTCAAAGATGCAAGTCAGGTAGGTTTGCCTGGCATTCTTATCAACGTTTATTGCTTTTAATTTGTGTCTTCAGACATTTTTTCTTAAGCTCTGATGGACTGCTGTGAGCAGCTCTTGGATGTTTTCCATCTCCCAGTTTACTCTGATGTGTATTTAGTAGCTCTTGAAGCTTCAGGTAGTGACTCTGTAGGGTCAAGAAAGGGGGGTTGTTGTAACACACAAAGTGAACTTAGTTGAAGGTCACAGACATGGGAATAGTGTAATTATCTGTGGTAATTACACTGTTGATAGTTCCAGTGTTTTCCAAGGAGATGCTAATCAAGTATTTGATTAAAGCTGAAAGAGTTAAATTCAGTTAACAGCCACTTAGCATAAATCAGAAAACTTACCTTAGAGCGTGCCTGAAAATGAGTTTTAATTATCTCTGTTTTTCTGTGTGCTGTAATAACATTTCCTCCAAAAGAAGTCCATAATTCTTTCCCATTTGTATTCCATTTTCTTTATTTTGAATCAGACAACCCTGCTTGATTTGGATGCACTGGCCAGGCACCTTGCTGACTGCATTCGGAGGTGAGCTTTGCAATGTCCCCAGCAGTGTCCCTTGGAATTTGCACTGGGGTCACTGTTAATGGGGCAGAGCTGTGACATTCCTTCTCTCCCTGTGTGTGCATATCCAGCAGGGAAATCCTGGACCATCAGGATGGGAATGTAGAGGATGATGGGCTCACAGGACTGCTGCGCCTTGCCACCAGTGTCATTAAGCACAAACCACCTTTCAAGTTCTCTCGAGAAGGCCAGGTGAGGAGGGCACTGCAGGACCACTGAGAGATCAAAGTAGTTCCTTTTCCACCACATTTTGATTGCAGGGCTCAATATGTGAAATTTTGTCATATTTCTAGCCTTAGGATGATGGACAAACTCACACATGTTCCTTTATTAACAAGGAGCACATATAATTCCTTCCCTTTCTGTGTAATTCCAGGATAGAATTCTTCTACCCCTGAAGTTTTATTTATTTTAATTTATTGTCTTTAAATGTTTTTACTGTTGATCAGCATTATCTGGTTTAAGTCCTTAACAACAGCTGACTTTGACCAGATCCTGGGCAGTCTGATCTAAAATTAACAGTTAAAGTTCCACACCTGTGCAGTGGCAGAGATCTGTTACAAGATTATTACAATCCACCTGTGCTTGTAAGGTGCAAAAGTGGTGAAGCAGGGGAAGTTTGCTAAAAAACTATTTTATTTATCCTAAAACTGTTTGTTTATATTAAAACTGTTTTGTTTCTATTAAAACTATTTATTTTATCTTTGAGAACTGCATTGTCTTAAAAAAAGGGCAAATTGTGTGTAAAAACAACTTCAGATTGATTCTTTTTCTGTAGGCTCTACAGAACTTATTATTTGGCCTTTTCAGCTGAAGAATAGGCCCTGGTGCCTAATGATGTTGTTTTTCTCTTGTCTGTTTATTCTGTTGCCATAAAACAGCCCTGAAGGTAATTTGATTGTCCAAATGTGACATTGCTGACAGCATTTGAAAAGACTGCTTCTGTTGTTCTACTGGATAAGTGTATTTAACTTAGGGAGAGGTTGCAGATTAAATTAGAGTAAGAATTCAGTTCACAGAATGCAGTGTGGAGGAGGATGTGGAAATTAAAATAGAGGTGTGCAAAGGTCAGGTTTTTGTAGCTTGGATGTATGGAAAGCTTAAGAAAAGCTTGAGAAACTAGTCCTAAAAGTTACTGAAAATCCATGTCTGGTTTGTCAAGTTATCAATCATAAAACCAATCATACTTTATTATTCTTTTCTAATTGGCATGTTCCTCTTTAGACTGTAATACAGTTACATTGGACTTTATGCACTGTAAGTTGTTGACATTTGTGATTCAGAACTTGTATTCAGGTCAGAAAGTTCTGCATGATAGAGGTCCACAAAGTCTCAAAAGTTCCTAGAAAATTTCTGATATGATTCATGTTTTAAGAATACATTCAGGCTGCTCAGTGTGCCAATTTAACTGTTTTCCAGGAGTTTCTGAGGGACATCTTCAACCTCCTGTTCTTGCTGCCCAGTCTGAAGGACAGACAACAGCCCAAGTGCAAGTCCCACTCCTCCAGGGCTGCTGCTTATGACTTGCTGGTGGAAATGGTGAAAGGCTCAGTGGAGAACTACAGGCTGCTCCACAACTGGGTCATGGCACAGCACATGCAGTGTAAGAGCCTTGGGAGTGTTTTGTGGCCACTAACTCTGCTCTGGGAATTTCACTTCATAGCTCTGCTGTTTATCCCCTGTCACCTGGAGTAATGTCACACAAGTGTTGGCATCTTTTCCTCACTTACCAAATGAAATCCCATAATAATTTCCATATCACCTGTTTTTAAATATTATTATTTAGAATATGTGTGGTCCTCTTAAATGACAGGTACACACAGGTAACACTGGATTTTACACGTTTCATCCTCTTGTGCTGGATTTTCATTTCCCTTTTTCCTTTCTAACATGACCCATAAAATATTTATACATAAACCAAAGTGTAGAAACCACATGGAGGTACTGGAGTTCTGAGCAGACCTCTCATGTTTTCAGAGCCTCTGGTATCATTGCAGTTGACTGCAGTCTGTACCCAGATATCTGCATAAAGCAGTTTTGCTGTGCCTCTTGGCTTCTATGCTTCCTGCCTTTTGGAGCCACAGTTCCTATGTATAATATGGAAATCACCAATATTTCAAGCTAGTTAATATTTTATCTTTGGTTTGCAAATCCTCATTATGCATTTTTAGCTTTAGCTAGATTTCCTTTCAAATGCCCAGTTTAAATTTCTCTAACCTGAGGTTCTGTAATTTATTATAATCTGTGGAATTGATTTTTAGTGCCTTAAAATTCAGCAAGCAAAAGAGAAAACTGATCATAATGATGCTTTGTGTTCTATTCTCTTATGCCTGGGGCCTTCCAAGGTCTCCTGTGCTCAGAAGAAATATTATGAAGAACATATTTTATGAAAATATTGGATATTTATGTTTGCTATGAGCACATTATCTGCTGCTGAGGTTGTCTCTGTCTCTCCAGGTGCAATCATTTGTTTTTAACAATCAGTGTTTTCCTCACTCCAAGTCTCAGTAATTCCTCTGTAACATTTACCACAGTTGTTACTTTCTTGCAAACACTCTTCCCTGGATTTTGTTCATCCCAAATTCTCCAGAACCCTCTGCTCTGTGCTCCTGCTCCATATCCAGCATTTCTCATTTGCATGAATGTTAATTTTATTACACCTGGCACAGTGCTGTTGTTTCTGTGATGTGCACCCAATACAGCACTTGTGATACTTCATTTGTTTAAGAGCTTGTTATTCCATTGTTGGATCCATTGATCCAAAGATTGTTGAAACTGGACTTTTCCCCTTTGTTATCCCTTTAATCTTACTAGTCTTCAAAAACCTTAGTCTTAGGCCTATCCCTCCATCCTTCTTTGAAGAAACATGAAGGGAAATATTAGAAATTTGCATCCTGTCTTTAGTATTAAATCTGTTTTCTTGGCACACAGTTCTTTCAGGTTGGTCTCACTGAAGAGTGGATTTAGGTATCTTCAGTTGTTCATAAAATTTCTTGCAATATTTTGGAGTTTTGCTTCTTTAAAGAGTGATAAAACCCTTCAGTTCAAAGAGGAGGTGCTTCACTTTCCAGCAAGTTAAAGATCATGTCTGGTGTTATCACTGGAGCAGGATCATCAGCAGAAGGTTGAATATAAAGAAATGCATGGTCATTCTGAGAGGAAAAAATTCAGCTTTAGTTTGCTTAAAATAGAATGTGAACATTGCAAGTTTGGTTTCAAGTTTCCCCATGTCTTCCTGAGAAAAAGCTGGTTTCTATAACAACAGTGAGGAATAAAGAAGATCGACATCAACGAGCCTCAAATTTGCCTTTCTAGTTAAGATCCATATGGAGAAGGAAAAATTTTATTACACAAATGAAGTCAGTCACTTAAAAAATCCCAGGGTGGGGAACACAAGGTCATCCTGAGAAAGTCCTTGTCAAATTCCTGAATGCTCTCTGTCAGATGGAAGGAGGTGGAAGATCCTCCCAGCTGCTCTGTGAAGTACAGAGGAGTCAACTGATTGCTTTGCAATTAGAGCTTGATGAGCTCTAGGCTGGGAGAGATGCTGAGTCCTTAACATCAGAAGGGGTGAATTAGGATGCTGTCATTTAGGGATTGCAGTTAAGGGAGGGAATTTTGGATTACTCTGCCGGCCTAATGACCTCCTTTAGGAGGTGAAATGTGCAGGGGAGCTTTGTTTCAACTGGCTGACCAGCCCAGGTAACCTGAGGTCACACCACTGAGGTTTGCTGAAACAGGAGAATTAAAGCTCTTTTCTTCCCTCCTTGGAGCTTCAGGGCTAATAGTTGTTTTGGTGCCAATGCCAAAATGAAGATTACAGCTATTATTTGTTGTGCAACAGAAAATCTTGAGCGTCTGGTCTCTGAAGATGTGAGGATGCCAAATATTTCCTGAATTTCTGTCTTGATAGTGTGGATTGAGAAGAATCCCTAATGAGTCTTTCATCTGTGACAAAATAATTGAGGATTTAAAGTTTTAAGTCTTGAACCCCACATAGCTTTTATGGATTGTAAAATAAATGCAGACTATTTTTGGGGATTCTTTTTCCTCTTTATCTGAACATATACTTGAGCAGAGGTATTGAATTATTTGTGGGACACACTGTGTTTTCAGAGAGTGACATCTTTGGGGATGAATAGCAAAGCTGGATGCATTGCAAGGGTTTGTGTCCAACTTCTTGGATACCAAGGAAGATTGTCTAAGCTGGTTACCATCTTCCTGACTGGCAGATGAGAAGACCTTTCCCATTCTTCTGATTTCTTGGCAGCCATATCAGAACAAGGCTCATGAAAGAGTCACTCAGCCCTGCCAAACTTGTCTGGTGCCTCCCTGTGTAAGAAATCCATCCCTGCATCTGTTGTGAAATTCAGAGGAATAGAAAGCTTAGAGGAAAAGAAAATAGCTATTTCAGTCTGATTCACTTGACATTTGGAGAGCACAGAGAGCCCCTTGCAGCCCAAAGTGGTGTTGCAGGAGGTTTTAAAGATTTTCCTGAGGAATATATAATCCATTTTCCTAAAGATCAGGCACAGTCTGGCTCCTGCCTCTAAATGTACAGTGCATAACCAGTGACATTTTACTAGTGTGAACATCAAGCTTTTCATTGTGTTTGTATTTTTGCAAATTGCACTCTGAATTTACTGTTTTCCCTCTGTGTGATTGCTGCTTTTCACAGCTTCCCATGCACCTTACAAGTGGGATTATTGGCCCCACGATGACGTTCGTGCTGAGTGCAGGTTTGTGGGTTTAACCAACCTTGGAGCCACGTGTTACTTGGCCTCCACCATTCAGCAGTTGTACATGATCCCAGAGGCCAGACAAGCAATTTTCACTGCAAAGGTGAGTGGGGGTGGGCTTGGATAGAAATTCACATTCAGAATCCGTGCAAATACTGAAAAAAATACAGATTTGCTTCTAAGACTTACATCTAGATCAAGAATATTTCTTCAGGGTTTAGTCTGCTTTTTGTGTAGTTGGATGCTTTTGCTGGTGTCTGAAGTGAAGAGATTTTTTCCTTAAATATTTAATGTAGGTTCTTAAGGTGGCATTGAAATAAAATGTTCTAAAACTCATATTTCTGTTGCTTTCAAGTAGCTTGATTCAGGTTTGGGTTTATGTGAATTGTCTGTTGTTTCTTAACTGCTGATTTGTCATTTTGTTAAGAAATGTTTTTTCATGAATGTTTATCAAGTCCCAGAGCAGTTATCTCATGCTACCAGAAGTACAGCAGGTCCTGTAAATTATCACACTTTGGTTGACATCCAGAAATGCAATGTTATCACTTTTATCTCTTTATTGTAAGAGAGAAAGCATCATTTTGGTCCCTGACATCACGGGGCACACAGAATGTGTGTCACCCTAATTGGCAGTGACCTCTTAATCTTCTGTTATTGTTCATTGCTGGTACTTGCCATGTAACTTCTGGATTTGCCATTTATAAATGCAAATAAAAAGCTAAATAAAAGAAGCTGCTGGTCTGCACAGGAAATGTGTTATGGAGAGGACTGTTCAGAGCCCTCACAACATCTTTGAATTAAAAAAAAATATTCCAAAACCACTAATACTTTCTAATATTTCCCCAAAAGCTCCTACCTGCAATAAATTTTTAGAAAGTGGAGTTGTTTTATTCTCAGGTTACAAAAGAAGTGTAAAATAAGTATAAAAGTTCTAAATAGAAAATAACAGACTGTGTATTCCTGTACACAGTCATTTTTCTTAATGGTCCATAATAAAGTAATTGGGCTTTTATTTGGATGTTGCATCTTTTTAATGTATGTTTTTGGAAAGTAATAAGCAAAAAGATCAAGTCTTCTTTTATTAATTTCTGATAGTATTCAGAAGATATGAAACACAAGACCACTCTGCTGGAACTCCAGAAGATGTTTACATACCTAATGGTAGGTGTGAAAGAGGGTGTTTTGGAAAGTGTCCTATTTTAGAGGTTCTTTGTACATAGTTCAATAAATTGCAAAGGTGTTGGGGAGGTGGAGCTTCCCTGCTGATAAAATAAAATACATTCTTCTTATTCATTGCATTTTCCTTGCTCCAATATTTAAAGATTAGTCCACTGAAATGAAGCAAAATTTTGAGATTCCAGGACCAAACAAAATTGAAGCACTTGCTAGGTGTTCACTGCTGTTAAAACACTGAAAAAATTCTGAAATAATGAAAAAGCCTGAGGAGAGTTGAGTCTCTTGACACTGGTTTTGTGTAAGAAATTCACAATCACTTTGAAGACAGATGGGGGAAAAAGTCTTGACTTGTAATGCCTCCCATGAATCAGAGAAATTACTAAATTGGGTGTTCACTTAAGCAGAAAAAAATAGAGGAACAGAAAGTCATAGCAGGACTTACCATTATTTAAATCTTGAAGAAAGACTTTTTTCTAAAAAAGGCAATATTTACAGGAGGTGCTGTCTTGCTGTACATCCTTAAAAGAGATCAGAGTGAGTGAGTCCTGCATTCCCAGTGTGCAAGGCAGTGGAATGGGGATGGGTTCTAAAGAATTGCTTTATGCTGCACATTCTTTTCTCTGGCTAAACACATCCTGTTGAAAACTAGATGAAAACATAGAGGAGTCTGAATGAGAATTGAGCACTTGGCAAGATTTAAGTCAGCAATGTCCAGAAATACATAAATACAAGCTGATGTTCTCACATTTTATTTTGTGTCTGAACAGATATGCAGAAATTGCACGTGTCACATCTTCAGCCAAGATACTTTATTTTAATGATTTATTTTATGAAGTATTTCCTAAATATTTTAATACTTTTTTACTAATGATATGTTACTCACTGGTAGCATGATAATGGTTATCAATTAGTTAAAAACTGCTTTGCATTTCAGCAGAAACATTTAAACATTTTGGAAATTATCCTGCCTAATAAACATATTGTATGTAAAAGATGTCTTTTTTTAAAACAGATATTCCTATATGTGTGTGTGGTACATCAGTGTAACTTGAAAAGAAAAAGATTTGGGTTGATTTGGTTTTGTTTTGTGCCTTTTATCCAAAGGAAAGTGAATGTAAGGCCTACAACCCAAGGCCTTTCTGTAAAACCTACACCATGGATAAGCAGCCCTTGAACACTGGAGAGCAGAAAGACATGACTGAGTTCTTCACTGACCTAATAACAAAAATAGAAGAAATGTCTCCAGAACTGGTGAGTTATTAAGAGGGAGCAAAAGGGAGCTTGAGAACTTAGGGATTTGCTCAGATTGCCTTGACAGAATGTATTTATTCTTTCATTCACAGAAAAACACAGTGAAAAGTTTGTTTGGAGGTGTTATCACAAACAATGTCGTTTCTTTGGTAAGTGCTCCTTCTCTAGCCTGATCTTTTAAAGATAATTATTTCTTAACTTCTCAAAAAAAAAAAAAAGCGATTGCATTGTTTTTCTGTTGCCTTTGTTCAGGACTGTGAGCATGTGAGTCAGACAGCTGAGGAGTTCTACACGGTGAGGTGCCAGGTGGCAGACATGAAGAATATTTATGTAAGTAATGCCAGGCTGAGATGAGTCTCAGATCTCAGCTACAAAGGGCATAAATCACTGCCACACACTTGAAGATGTCAGTGCTTTTTATCTGCACTCCAGTTTTGGGGTGTTTTGAGGTTGATATTATGAGGTGATTTAGTTTCAGCTTTTCACTGCTGTGTGCCATCAGCTGGAGCCAACAATAGCCATTGGCTGTTGTTTTACACTCAGTAATCCCTATTTACTTGTTTTAACCATGCTGTGGTCATTTTATATAGGAACTGTAAATGTCAAAAGATTCAACATTTGCAAGTACTACTGCTTATGAAGTTAATTTAAAGCTTTTTCAAGCTTTTTAAACAACCATTATTCCCACAGTTGAAATTTGAATTTAACAGATTTGAGTTCTTGGAGACAGCTTGGAATATTGAGTACCGTTTTTAAGAGTTGGTTCCTTAATTCTGTATGTGGGTTAGGAACTGTTTTTCCTCTCAAGCTCTTCTCTTAGTTCAGGTGTGTGCTCTTCTGTAAAAAATGTTGGGGCTTTTATTTTCATAACTTATCGAAATGTTAAATTAAACTCAGTAAGATTGAAAGGGAAGGGTTTGGAAAACAGGCCATGTAAGCACAAGATGTAAACTTCCAAGATAAATGTAAACTCCTTTTTTGTTTTTTTTTCCATGTAGGAATCTCTTGATGAAGTAACTATTAAAGATACCTTGGAAGGTGACAACATGTACACGTGTTCTCACTGTGGGAAGAAAGTGCGGGCTGAGAAAAGGTGTGGCCAAGAAGAAATAAATATTCCTGATGTTTCTGTTTAGTAAATCCCTGCAATTCCATTTGGAATAACAGTGATCCTTTAGGTGGAACAGGACTGCTCTTCATTCAGTTTATATCATGTAGGCCTGTAAGGATCCCTGTGCAAAGCAGAAATTAGAAAGAAATCAAATTTCCAAAACAGAGAATCCAAAGTATCTTAGCAAAAGACACAGGAAAATGTTCATGACCTTTTTTAATTAAAAAAAACCCCAGAAATTAGCACCTTTGGAGACATTAGTCCTGGGTTTAAATACTAAATGCTTTCAGAGGTTGGTTGGTTGCTCATTATGCAGGATAATTGCTTAGGTTTCATGTCACCCTGAATTTCCTAATTAAAATTTGTAGCTTTAAAAATGTTTCCATGTTTTTCAAAGTCTGCTTTTAAAGAGAAAGTAAATTAAAATTTTATGTTGTCTTGTTATTGCAGCTAAGAAATTCCTTTGTTAGAGTTGGAAAACCTTGTTGTTTTAAATGACATGAGTGAGAGAGTAACTTACTTGGAAGTCATTATTGCAAATTTTATGAGATTTAATGCAGGAGATGTTCTGCCTCTGTCTTTTGGAAGATGGTAACTCCCTGCAGTGAGGGGATTTGCATTGTTGAGTTCATTCATGGCTTATTTTATGATACTATTTTAGAAAGCTGGTTCCTGCCATGTGAGTAAATTTGCTGTTTGTTCCAAGGTACAGTGACAGCATAAACAGAATTGTTTAATGGGCTAAATTTGACCTTCCTGCTGCAGTCAGTCTGCCCTGCTCTGGGGCACTGTAAGAGCTGAATTTTATATTTATGTCTTAGCAACAGATCTCCAATGTTACACTTGAAATAAATGTTTAAAATCTCTGTGAAAATATAATTCACCCTCCTAAGCTTTTTAAAATCTTGTTTCTTTGTGATCCTTCAGGGCATGTTTTAAGAAACTACCTCGTATCTTAAGCTTCAACACCATGAGATATACATTTAATATGGTGACCATGATGAAGGAGAAAGTCAACACCCATTTTTCATTCCCTTTACGTTTGGACATGACACCCTACACTGAAGATTTCCTCATGGGGAAAAATGACAGGAAAGAAGGTAAAATGGATTGAGCTAGCTTTGTCTCTCTATCTGTGTTATGCACTGTGTATTTATTTGTGTATTCACCTCCTGTATACAGAACAGAAGCAAATAAAATCAAACATAGCTTTAATCAATCTGTATTCCCAAAGTCACACACTGTATTTCACATAAGAATAATGGCCAATTTTTGGTTTCAAGTACTGTTTAATTTGAATTAATCTTATAGTTTTTTGTAAAGTATGAGAGGAATTGCAGATAATTACATCCAGTTTGTTGTTGATGTTGAAGTTTGGGTGTTAGGAAATAACTGATTAAATATGGTATTGAATTCTTTCAGGTTTTAAGGAAGATGGTGGATATCTGAAGGAAACTGAGAGTTATGAGTATGACCTGATTGGTGTGACAGTTCACACAGGAACAGCAGATGGGGGGCATTACTACAGTTTTATCAGGGACATTGTCAATCCTCATGCTTACAAAAACAACAAGTGGTGAGCTGTGCCATTTATATTTCCATATTTTTAATAACTAAATCTTACTGGCTTTGTTAGGTGCAGTTATATAGGGGATACATCCTGCAGGCTCCTCTGGAAAGCACAGCTGTTGGAATTTGCTAGTTGTAAGGATATTGATTTATTGGCCTACAGATCAGTAGCCAGGAGGGTTTTGTGGTCCCTCAGACACAGGGGTGGCAGGGAATGCTGTGCTGGCCTCACCACAGCCAGGGATTGCTTCCTGATGGGACTAGATTTGAATTATTGCAGCACAAAAGATTTCCTGGATTGTCCTTCCTGAAATCTGCTTGGTACCTTGGATGAGGATCCAGCTACATTTCTTCTGGCTGGAGAATTTGGGAAAGGGGAGGGACATGGGCATGGGAAGGAGGAGGGAGACAGAACAAAGCAGGGCACACTCTGCCTGCTATTTTTGGATGTGGTATCTCCATTTCTCACTGGAGCCCTGGCATGGGAGACAAGGTTTCCTCTCTTACTGTTCTGTAGAACAGCCAGAACATTTCTGAAACAGAAGCAGCTCATGACCTAATCCCTGCTCCAGTGGGATCCCAGAGGTGCCTCCTTGTTTGGTGTTATTGGAAGGAAGTCACTTTGGGACCAGATTTTCATTTGCTGGATCTAAACAAGACATGAGAAATGAATAGGAATGTTTCAATGTGAGGAGTCATTGGAGGGCTCCTGAGGGTTTATTTGCCCCTGGAGATGAGCAGCAGTTGGTTCAAAGCCTCCTCCTGCCTTGCAGGTACCTTTTCAATGATGCTGAAGTGAAACCCTTCGACTCTGCCCAGCTTGCTTCTGAATGTTTTGGTGGAGAAATGACTGTAAGTTGGGACTGCATTTTTGTCATGTTCAACTCTTCCAGTATCTGTTACAACCTGTTACAGCCCAGGTGTTTGTATGAGGCTTTAAAAGGAAGCTGTCAGAAGTACAGTACAGGTATTACTAATGAAGCAAAGTTAATTAGTGAAGTGTCTCTGCAAACAAGAGGTATTTCTTTACTAAATCTGGTTTTTATCATGCCATTTATTCAGGTATTAGAAAGTGAGTCTGGAGCTGATTTAGGAATCCTTGCTTGGGGTGGCTGCTTAGCTCAGACCATTGATGAAGGAATCATTACTTCAAGCTTAGGTGTATTCTGGGAAAAAAGGGGCATTTTGATCTTTGTCTATGCCTTATGTCTCTGCCTGTGACATCAGCTGGAATATTTTACACATTATTAATACAAACAACACTCAAATGTTCTCAGGTTGTGCCTGAATTGATCATTATTTATAGCTGTGTACATGATATAAAGCACATTATAGATAACACAGTATCTTACTAAAGCAGTCCTGGGCATGAGACAACTTCTCTTGTCTGGGAAAGACAATATGCTGAAATAAAACCAAAAAATTCCTTTGTTTGGCACATAGATAAAATACCTCTAGATGCCTCTAAAGAAGAGGTGTCAGTGAGATGGATGAGCCAGGAAATTGCTTGGGATGGAGGAAGAGTATTGCATAGTAGCTTTGAAAATTCAGAGAGGCCAGAGAAGAAAAAAAGAAACAGGACTGCTTTGAGCAAGAGCTAAATTGTCAGCAACCCTCATAAATATTATGAAATAAATGTGCAAGTGAGCTGTCACAAGCTGTTAGAAACTAAAGCATTAAAAAACTTGTAATTAATGGTTTTGCTTTCTTCTTGACAGACAAAAACTTATGATTCTGTTACTGATAAGTTTATGGACTTCTCCTTTGAAAAGGTATTTCTCTTCCAAACCCTTGTTGTGTGATTATATTTCTGATTTCATGATTTCTCTCTCAAAGCAAAAATTATACAGATGTTTTTTTCTCCAAGACACACAGTGCTTACATGCTGTTTTATAAACGGATGGAGCCAGAGGAGGAAAATGGCAAAGACTACAAATTTGATGTTTCATCAGAATTGCTGGAGGTACAAGTTGATTTGTTTTAACACCAATTTTAAAACACTCTAGGAGGCCCTAAACACATCAGAAATCTGAATAAATATAGCAAAGCAAAAATAATTTAAATCACTAAGGTGGCAGTCCTTTCATTTCACTGTCCTCCTGAGGAGATGGTCATGGGATAGGAAGGGAATTGGGATTTACATTTTATGTGAATTTTTGATGTTTCCTCATTGCTGTCCTGTATATGCTGTAAATCTCTTTTTGCCACCTGGAAAATTTAATGTCCCTGCTCCCTCTGGCCAGAAGTGTGGCATTTTTGGTTCTTAATTGAAAATGTCTCTTCATTCCTAGCCAGCAAATCAGATCATGCTTTTATCCTTCTTGGTCTTAAAAATATTAATAGGTTTTTATCGGAGTTAAATGTTTAAACTATATTGCTGTGAAAATCACTATGAATTGATGTGATCAAAAACATCACTTCAGAGAGAGGAACAGGGGACGTGGCAGAAATCCTGTTCTGGTTTAATGATGGAGGTTTTAGGAATTTATCCAAATTTTACTCTTTAGGAATTTATCAGAAGTTCTCAGAGCTCATCAAGCTTTGGGTTAGACTTCAGCTGTGATTCTTTTTAAACTTGTTGTTCTCCAAATTTTAGCCCAAAACTGTGAATAATTGAGTTGTAAAAATTAGGCCACAGAAAGAGGAGAAGGTTTGAAGCTCTGTTCTGCAGTCCCATGGCAGGCACAGCCAATACTCACTCTAGTATGGATAAAACAGCTTTGAGCCAATTCTTTAAACTAAAGAAAGTGCTTTCAGAAATAGTATTTCATACAGAAAAAATTTGTGGCTTTTAGCCTTGGAATCATTTAAATATTTTTAAAATCATGCTTAAGTAGTGAAGTAAACTGCTTTCTTGTATCTGATGGTAGCATTTTTTCTTCAGTGGATATGGCATGATAATATGCAGTTCCTTCAAGACAAGAACATTTTTGAACATACATATTTTGGGTAAGTTTTTCTTTTAAAATGTAATATTAATACTTCTTTTCTTCTTGCAGATTATCATTGTTTATTTTAATTAACAAATAAAATTACTGACTCTAGGTTTATGTGGCAGTTGTGTAGTAGCATCCCAAGTACACTACCAGATCCAAAAGCGGTTTCTCTGATGACAGCAAAGGTAAGGATTTCCAAAGAATCTCATCTTCTCTTAACTATTTCCTTGTTGATATTTTAATTCATGCATTCTAAATTAATGGTGCCATTTTTTTTTCCAGTTAAGCACTTCCTTTGTACTAGAGACATTTATTCATTCAAAGGAAAAGGTATTCAATTTACTTGTAAATTCTCATTAAGTAGCTGCATGAATCTAGTGAAAAGCAGATCTGTACTTTCCATTTTAGAAGTGGGATTTTGAGCTGTAAAATTACTATGTATGATGCAAAGTTCATGTTTAGAGTGTCATTTACCACATTTATAGTGAGCACTGCACAGTGGAATGTAATGTAAAAATGTATAGACTGGTATTTTCTGTAGG